GGAGACTAAAAATTTAACAAAATGCTGATTATTTGAGAAAAATTTGTGCCACTTTTTCCTACCTCAAAAGGGGTCTTGCTATGACTCCAATGTAAAGGTTGATAACATAACTAAACAGATGGTAAATAGCAAGTGCACTGAACCGAAGATACAAAATCAAAGATGACCACTGCTGCCCGTTGCCAAAAAAGGCATGAGATGTGTAGTTTTCAAAGTAACCGGATCGTTGAGTATTGTAGACAATACTAATGTAAAAAGTGTAGTAGCTAAAACCAAAAACAGCAATATTCCAGAGAAAAAGAACCAATTTGTAGAAAAGAGACAGTGGCTGTGAAGTGATCGAAGCGCCAAGAAACGAGAGACCTGTCAAACGATGCACTAAAAAAGAAATTAAATTGTTTGTTTTGAAGCATGTAAACCTACCAGTAAAGAGCATCCACAAACCCCGATGTTCTTCATCGTGTTTGCCAGGATTTTGCTGATTTTCATGATCTCGATAACTTCTGATACTATTTGATGTAACCGAGCTCCATACACGACTCATTTTCTGTATTACATTTTCAAAGATGTAATCTGAAATGAAAACTAAGTTTAACTAACATATTTAAAAAAATAATATTTGTAATGAGATTTTAAGTACAATTTTATTAATATGTTTGCAAAACTTTTTAAACGATATTAATAAATTATTAACTTGGATACACTGCATCTTATTCAAAACATTTTAAACCTTTTAGGTAAGTTTCCATTGAAAAGTTTTTAAAACTTTAAAAAACACACTCAAACATCTAAATTATGCATCTTATTTTCATCACTTGATGTCTCAACTGTATTGTAACAATATCTGAAACATTTGGCGTAGTTTTTGTACTTAAGTTGTACTTTTTTTAAAAAACTTGGATTTGAAATCAACAATTTTTTTAATTTAATGTTTTTTGTGTTAATTATTTTAAACTAATTAATGATATTTAANGTTAGGTAAGTTTTCCATTGAAAAGTTTTTAAAATTTAAAAAAACACACTCAAACATCTAAATTATGCATCTTATTTTCATCACTTGATGTCTCAATTGTATTGTAAAAATATCTGAAACATTTGGCGTAGTTTTTGTGCTTAAGTTGTACTTTTTTTTAAAAAACTTGGATTTGAAATCAACAAATTTTTTAAATTTAATGTTTTTTGTGTTAATTATTTTAAACTAATTAATGATATTTAAATCAATTTTGCTTTATGCTTAGTTTTTAAATTTTATTTACTTTTAGTTTATTTGAATCAATAAACAAAAACTCTAGTTTGTGTTTTCTGACATGTGTCGAAATTTTGGTGCATATAATAAATTTTTAATTTAGATATTTACTTAAAAACTAATAATTGCTTAATACTAAATTTTTTTAAATGATTAATTAAAAGTTAAAAGCAATCATTCAATGTTATTAATTACCACAAGTGGTGTTACNTTAATTTGTGTCTTCTGACGTGTGTCGAAATTTTGGTGCATATAATAAATTTTTAATTTAGATATTTACCTAAAAACTAATAATTGCTTAATACTAAAAATTTTTTTTAAAATGATTAATTAAAAGTTAAAAGCAATCATTCAATGTTATTAATTACCACAAGTGGTGTTACTAAATGTAATACATATGTCAAAAAATAAAAAACTTTAAAACTAAAACATTGATGCAATAAATCAGCAAAAATTTTAAATTGTTTATTTGAATTGTCCAAAAACATGTACTCCAATATTTTTCCAAGTAATTTCCGTTTTTTGCAAACCTTGCAAAATTCAACTAATTTTTTAAAATATTATAATGTTATTCACGTTATATATTATTTATGGATTTTCCAAAATTCTTCGCGTTTTGTTCTGTTTTACTATTGTGTGAAAAACCAAAAAATAAACTTTTTGCTAAAAATAGATTTTCTTTTTTCTCACATTTATCAAAATGGTTTTACTGATCCGTTGTTTTTTTTTTGTTTTATGGTATTCTTATCATTTTTTATGGGCATCTTTACTACAATGTTCATTACAAACAAAATGCTATTTTATGGAACCGTTTAGATAACATTATCATTTCTAGTGCCGTTCAATATTATTCAAATAATAGTCTATTTGATGTTAAATTGAGTTTTCAAAATCTGTTCCTTAACTTTTTCAAAATCAAAACTATCATTGTTGTCAAGTTAGTCAAAACAATGTATCTTAAAAATGTGATTCAAAATTTAGTATTTACAAAAAAGAAAGTTACAAACAGCTCTTTAACCTTATTTTTGTGGTTGTTTTTTGAGTTTGAACTTCAGTATATTTATTTAAGTAAGTGATGATGATTGACTATTTTTGTTTTAAAATATTTTTAAAATAATTTTTTACACAGCAAACTATTTAATGGTGATATCAATGCTTATAACTGATTTTATTCAGCCACATACTTTTTTAACTAAACTAATTTTTTTGCTAAGCGTTTTGCTTGATCTCTTTTTTCTGCGAAAAAGTTTGCAAATTATGCTATTTTACATTTCAACAATAACTGCTGTTTGCTTTGCTTACAATGCTGAGTTTAAATTTGTTAACACAAAAATATTAAGAGTATCTGATCAGCATTATATAACTCTTTTCTGCAAAAAACACACCAAAATGAGTCAATTTTTGAGTCAATTTAATTCATCAGTTGTGGCACCGTTTTTTTGTGCGTACATAATATTTATCTTTCCATACTGTAGCTACTCTGGATCGTACATTTTCTACAATCTATTTTCTGGCAGTGCAATCTATGCTGGTGTCTTTACTCAAGCTTTCTTTATTCTAACTCCACTTGCTATTGGACAGTGTTTGGTGGAAGTTAATCGTCGTGTAGTGGCATCAAAAAGCAAACTGAGTTCAACTTTGGCCAGTTGTCAAGGCACAACCAAAGAACGATGGAAATGCTATATTTACTTAGAGCATTTAAAGCAGTTAAAACTGTTTACTGCAGGCCCATTAGGGTCAATTACTCAGTGGACCTCACTTCAATGCCTCTTTACTTATTTTGCCTTTCTCATGTTTTTTGGATCACATTTTATTACAAAAATTGGTTCAAATTAATGTTATACTACTGTAGTCACTTTATTTAATCAATAAAAATGTAAATTAGTGTATGCACATATTCCGCGCATACAATTGATGCTGACCACAAACGGGCAGCGGATGACCGACTGCATTAAATATCCATTTGTCAATAGGCAAAACAGTGTCATTTGAAAATGTTAAAAAAAGATACAATAGTGTACCAGAGAAAAACTCTGGAGGTTGGTAGTCAAGTTGAGTTGTGGGAAACTCATTAACGTCTTTTACACTTCCATATCCGCCACTTTCAGTGCGAGCATTCTGCTGAATAGCCTCCACCAGCTGCCAGGCGTACTCTCGATACCTTTGATCATGTGTCAAACGCCAAAGAATAAAGTAACTCTCTGCCAGATGTTGTCTGCGGAATAAAGGTACAAACGGAAAGAAAATCAGTAAAGATAGCATTTGTAATCATTGACTGAATCTTACGTCAAATAGGACTGCTCATCGACCACATTCACTTCACCCTCATCGGTGATGGCAAACTCATTAGGCAGCAGAGTGCTGTTGGTCGCCATTGCAGCCATGTGACAGCTCTCGGTTAGGTTGACCGCCAACTGCTGACTTCTTTCTGCTGCAACTCTAAAAGTGTTTTTTACTGGCAGTGTCGTGGCTTTGAGCATTGCTCCACTGCCCAGCGAAAGCATCGCTCCCAGGTAGCAGGTGTTTGCTTCCATGCTTTTCCCACTTATATTCAACAGGCGGTGCCAGTAGGTGACCAGAACATGGCCATTCTGGGTCACTCTGATTAGACCACTGCTCTCGACAATGGACTGCAGGGCGGCCATATACGTTTGCAGTGACTGGGTGTCAGTGGAAGCTGACTGCAGGTACGACCGAAGGAGGTTGTAGTAGAAGTCCTTGGCGTTCTGGCCGAATGCTGAGGTGGTGTTTTTCCGCTGACCATTGCTCACGTCGATTAAGTATGTGAAATGCCCCTTAGGCACGCCGATTTGAGCAATGAATTGACGCACTTGCGCCAGTTTAGTTTTCAGTTCAGTATCGTTGTTGTGATCAGTAAGGAAGATCAGTTCAGGTTGCTGGTGACCGGTGAAGGAGAGGTAGGTGTGCTGCGAGTTATCAGGAACACCCTTTGTTTTGGGAATTATCTTTCTGTAAAGCAGTCCGGTAGAAGAGTTGAATGCCACTTTGATGATGTTGCCTATTTGTGTTGCTTTATCGAGGAACAGTGAATCACCTGTCAGCGCATAGACGGAAAGCAAACCCCCAATGTACTCGGTGATGCTGTCGTAAACGTTCATTTCAAAGTTTATATTGGTAAAATTTAGCTTCTTCTCCACCCATTCTTTTCCCACATTGAACTGTTTTTGTAAACCCATCACGTGCAGTGTGCTCAGAGCAGCGATGATTGTTTGACCAGAGCCTGGCGGAGAAAGAAAGTGGCTTGCTTCTCTACTGACGGGTCGAAGTGCACGTGCACCCCAGGCATATGTTTGATAAGCAGTCCAAGCTTCCAGTGTCATGTTCCGTATGACATCTTGCCGGAACTCAAGTTGTAAGTCATTTTCCGTAGAATAAAAAGTAGTCGATGTGTCTGAATAAACAGTAATAAAACAAACTAAGGCTAAAGTTAGAAAAACAATAGTTTGGTAAAAGGTTGAATTCATTTTGTCAAATGCAGGCAACGTTATCTGAAAACACTTAAAACTTAATAACTTGAGAGGTTGTTTTTGTTAACTAAAATGCAGGCAAAATAATAATTTATTGGTAAATACTACCGTTTTGTACTCAAAAATAACTTGCTAAAACCAATCAATCATATTAATTGCCAACTGTCTCTTATGACCTTCAACTCAACTTTGGCTGACCACTCAACATTTTTTGCTGTTAACAAGTACGTGTTGTGTACAGTTTATTGGTAGAGTCTAACGATTATTCATCGTTTAGATATTTTGACAAAGAACGGCAAAGTGTTAAGCATTGGAGAACCCTTTTTGAAACTCAGCGTTTTTGGTGTGTCAGGTGCCTTGCAAAATTGGTACTTTTGCACAATTTGCCCTAAACAAAGCTTGATTTCTTGCAGTGCGAATCGCATACCAATACTGTAAAAAGTTTTTAAATACATTTTTAAAACGAGATAAAAATTTATATCTCTAATTTTACCAGTTCCTTGGTCCTAAAAAAACAAGTTTATAACAATTGAAACTACTGATAATCATGTGAATAAGACTTACCATCTCCAAAGCCAATGTAGGTGTACGGTACTAGTAGATGCTTGTTCTCTGGCATAAACCGATCAGGATTGAAGACTTCAGGGTTAGGATACACTCTGAAAAAACGTAATTAGAAAAAAAGTTTTTGTTGCATGAGAAGTATTCTCTTACTCAGGATTATGATGAACAGCATATGTCGGAATTTCAATGAGAACGCCTTTATCAACCGGGATTCCAGCCACTTTGATTCCATCAGAGCCAACTCTTCTTTCTAAACGGACCACTGGTGTACACAAATATTGTGTTACAAAAATTAAATAAAATTAAACAATTTTTACCTGGTGGGTACTTTCTAATCGCTTCCGACACAACAGCGTTCAGGTAAGGAGCGTTTTTGAGCAACTGGTCAAAGTATTCATCTAAATTACTGGTATCGGTGTTTTTTGCAATGGTTAAAACTTCTTCAAACAGTCGTTCTTGAATTTCCTTATTGTGAGCAAACTCAAAGAAAATTGTTGTTAAAACCTAAAAGTTAATAAAGTTAGTTTTTGTTTTTGTTTGTTACAAATAAAATAAATTCATCTTACACTAGCAGTAGTTTCAAATCCGGCTTAGTTGTTTGAAAAAAATTATCAAAAGTTAATTATAAAGTATTTTATAAAAAAAAATAATAATAAGATCAATTACCTATAAAAAATAACACCGCTTGCGAAATTATCTCTGTTTCGTCAAGTGTCTTTTTCATTTTTGTGGAGTGCTGTTTTTGTTCAGTTAGAGTTTCTTTCTCATCCATAACAGCCATTAAATGACTGTAATCATCTTTATCACCATCGAATTCAAGTGCATAGGTGTCGATCATCAACTGAATTAAATCATTTCGTTTGACGTTGTTTTTCTTTCGTTCTAGAACAATCTGTCTAGTCAAATTGATGAAAAAGTTAATGGAGTCTTCAGGAAAAGGTACAGTAAAACCAAGAAAATCAAGAATAGGTCGCGGAAGTGCTAAGATACTGGCAATTTTCAGAGGATTAAAGTTGAACAAATTGAGTCCATTTTTGACAAAAGGACTTTCTTTTGCTCGATCATCATTGGCGTTAGTTTCCGTTGCAAAACCAGTTGAAGCTATCTTAAAAATAGAATAGGTTTTGTAATTACAAAATTATTATTACTAAAACTAAGGTACTTACAATGTCGATGGTGAATCCAGAAATGACCTTTTTGGTGTTAACCAAACCACCTCTTTTGGTCCTTTCTTCCATGTAAGACATCAACTTTTCAATAGCAATATTCATAATGCCGTACATTCCCTTTAGTTTTCCCGAAGTGAATGCTAGTAAAATAGGTATGTCAGAATTTCAAATCAAAATCTAGATGATTTAAAAAATTTTTACCAGGTGAAACAATAGATCTAATTCTTTTCCAATCCTCTCCTTCAACTTGAAATAAATTTCGATTAAAGACGGTATTGTAAGTGTTAAGGACTCTACGGTCAGCAAAATGTTGAAAGTCTTTTATCAAAACTTGCTTGATGTCTTCAGCGTCAATGATGGACAGTACAGGAAGGAGTCCTGAGTAAGAGCCATAAACTTTTCCGTACTTTTTCATGTACTCTAGCTCAATCACTTGCGGTTGAACACGGACACGCGACAAAAGATTGCCAAAAGGAAAAATAGAAAATGGACCTCTTACATTTCTCGACGACCAGTAGCTGTACTTTGAGTTGATGTAACTAAAAATTCATACAATTAAAAATTAAAACAAAATTTGAAATAGCTAACTTACTAGTACAGCAACGTCACTAAGATGATCAGTTGAAGAATTAACCAGAACATGGCGGCCAAGTTTATGTGAAAAAAGTGATTTTCAAATAATTGCAAGGATGAAAAATCAATTCATTTTGCAGTTGCTTTTATACGAAAGCAAAAGAGCATTAGCCTAAGGCATTTCTGACATCCATGTGCATTCATGTGATGCACAGTTCTTTGTTTTTCTTTGAGCGTACACTCGGTCGTATTGACGACATGTGTCTGTCGGAAAAACGACCACAACTTTTGACAAAGCTACTTTGCCGCTGCTATTTACTTGTCAGTTTATCTTTGCACTGATGAGTGATACGAGAAAGTGTATCAATTTTTGCCAATATTATCACATTTGCTGACAAAGAGTAATTATGATGAGTGTACTTTATTTTGGCTCAATAATAATTTCCACTTTAGGTTAAGGTACACAAAGCACAAGGAAAGTTGAAGAATAAAATAAACAAAAAGTGATCAACTCAGTGACCGCTCAAAAAAGCAAATCCAATGATGGACTTTGAAAGAACTTCAAGTAAATAGTCTGTTAGTCATTATTAAAATCTGTTGTGCATGTTTTCTTTGTTTATCTTGAACGAATAGACCATAAACTTGTAGTAAAAAGCTAAAAATTTTACAAATGTGCCAGCAGTCACTAATTGAGCTCCACCAAAATATGTGATGCCGTACTTTCGATGCACATTAAGCATTTGAATGATAAGTGATAGTTTTATTCTATCTTTGAACGAGTAGGAATCCAGTTTCATTGAAAGACTTTGAAGAACTACACCAGACTGGTGGATCTTTTTTGGATACTGGACAGTTATCAAATGAAGACCAAATCTAAATTTGATAAATAAAATGTGTGCTGTTAATATTTGATAAAGTACGTTTTAACTTTTGTCTCACATGTAAAGAACTTGTGCCCAAAGACATACTACAAAAAGTATTGCGGTTACAATTTCTATGTTTCTGAAAATAATTGAGAAAACCATAAACGCATTACTAGGCGTGTACACCAGAATATGAACCATTAGTATGAAGCCAAATTTGGTATTTGCATTGAAGATTGATTGTCTAATATTTGCGTGAAACCGATAAAAAATGTTGAGATTGCTCAAAGATGTAATTTTGTTGATCTCTTTCACATTTGAAGACATTGACTTCTTAGTTTTATTTCGAGTTAGTAGAATATCACTTTTTGTGAGCAATTTATTTGCTTGATTCAATCGAATAAAGGTGATGAGTGAGAAAACAACTTGAAAAATGCAGGTTAGTTGGTAAACACTGCTGAATGTGAAAGCCATTACATAGTACACTAGCAAGTTGGAAGTCATAAATACAAAGCCAACTAAACCTTCAAACGTAAAAAAGAAACGGGCAGCATGTTTGTAGATTAGACCAAAATATATATATTGCATATAGCTTGTTATCATATCTGTAAATTTTGTTGAATATTCAAAATTACCATGTTAAATGAGTCAAGCAAAAACTTACATGTCGCTCCGTGAAAGACAACACACCCTTTGGCAAGCTGATCCACAACGTACTGGATATAATGTTTTACATTTTTCCCATTGGTTTTACTATCAATAAAAAAATTTCCTAATTTCTTTTCAGCTATAATTTGCCCCAAAATGGCAATGAAATCATTGTTTGTATCTTTGAAATATAACTGATTTATGTTTGTAACTACAGTTATTAACAAAAAACAAAACTGCAAATTAAATTCTTTTGAAACTTTTGCAAAGTAAAAATAATCAAAAATGTACATTCGGTAGTTGTGTGATAGCGGAATAAAGAAAACAATAATGAATTCAATCATTTTAATAATAACTGAAATTTTAAGAAAATATACTGAAAGTGGAATTTTTTTTGTCAAATAAATCTCCTTTGCTGTTGTGAAGTAATCTAATAAATATTTTCTTGTTTTTATTGGATAAAAATTATACAACAAAATGTAGTATTTTGGATCATTAAACGAGTTTGAAAACATTTTAGTAACAGTTAGTAGACAAATAATTTAAAATAACTTAACACGTTTTAAAAGTATAAAATAAAAATAACTATTGCACTAAAAACTGAAAGCAAAAAAAGGATCGAGTTTGGTCGGCAACAAATTAATATTTAATTATTCTTAAAAATTTAAAAGTTCATTTAAATAATAATTTTTGTATTTAGTATGTAGAAAACTTAGTGGTTACAAGTTTATAAATTTGCTAGTACACATAAAGTACAATAGCAATAACAAAGTTATGTTTCTAAACAACAAATATAATTAATCAACAAATTGAAGTTTTTTAGTAATTGTTTTGTTTAAAATTGTCATTTTAATTTTAAAAATTTATGTTCAACAATCGATTTTTTGATGTTTTATAAGTAATTTTTAAAACTAAAAGAAGTTGCAAAACTTTAACTCAATATATTTTAGAAAATCTTTTGTACTTTAAACATTAAACAATAGGTTTTCATTTATTTTTTAAAATATCTTTATTTGTAGTCAACTTTTTGTAAAATTAATTGGTAAAGATTAGTTGAAGTTAGACTGATGACGTGATCTTCCGGAGCAAAATAAATTTTATTTTAGTTTATATAGTAATTATAATTTATAGTGCATAAAATTTTTAAAAATAATTGTCTTTAATTAGTCATTTAAAAATTAGCAAAGTAAAACTCAATTTTAGAGTTTATGTTTTAGACAGTCATAAATTAGACAAACAGTTTAATTATTTTTTATTTTAAAGTATATCAAGTTAAATAGGACAAAATTGCAAACTGAACTAAAGTTTATTAAAGTATTTTAGCAAAAACTTTTTTGTTTATTTTTAAGTTTTTAAGTAGTGGTAAATTCAAAGTTTTTTATATTTTAACTTTCTAGTAATTTAAAACTGTGTTGTGTAACTAGCATTAATTAAAAAACATTAATTTACACAGCAAATATTGATACATAGATGATATCAATGAAAAAGTTTCTTTGTTTATTGCATAATGTTATTAGAGAGTTTGTGCGTTCATTAAATATTTGCAAAATTATTCCTGTAGCAAAAGTAGCAGCTTTTCAATAACGGTTATGATCATGATAAATTAACAGCTACTGTATTTGTTGCTGGTTTTGCCTGGTAAACTAATACAACCTTGAATAAATCATACAAACAAGCTTTTACTTTGAAAAGTCGCTTTTTATTCGTTTCCAATCAGCTGCATCAACAGGTGACATCAATCAGCACAAAAACCAACTAGCTTTGAGCAACTAGCACGTACAAGCACAGGCAAACACGCACACAAACAGGCATAGATTTGACGTGAAAGAGGATGTTCGTGAGGTGGTGGTAGTTTGGCAGCCATCGATTGCACCAGCAATGCATTGGTGCGAACCGAGCACCTACAGAAGGCGTCAGGCGACACTGCAGTGACAACGCCGCTGACAGTCGATGGAAAGCAGACCACCACCACCACCAGTCAGTGCCAATGGTGGTTGAATTTAGTACAGTAGGAGAGGTGGTCACTGGCTACCTACTGCCGCAAAGGAAGGAGAAACAATTGCACAGGGCAATAAAAAAAGCAAGAAAACAACAACGGAACAGCCGAAAGAGCAGACACGAGAAATGCTAAAACGAAGCTGACATTGAGCTGGAGAAGGCAGAGTGGAAATTAATCCGCACAGGCGACTGCTGTCTGCTTCCTGCAAGCGCATGTATACATACCTCTTGACCTTCGACCAACAGCAACATCCACTGACAAGTAAGGCGGCAAAAGAGAAAGTGAGAGAGATCATTTGCTTTCAGCTTTTAGCTAAAGGGGGAAGACTGCCGGGAGAAAGCTGCACACTGCACTGCTAGCGACTGTGTTGCTGAAAATAATATACACACTCTGTACAATTTCTGCTAACAGAAGACAAAAAAAGAACAGAAACTTTGACTACACCACCACCACCACCTGCATCTGCCTTAGTCTTTGCTCCTCTCTCTCATTCACTCACTTTCTCTTTCATCTTACTTTAATTGCCCACTGCCGATCGACATTGTTCTGTTGTGTGTTAGCAACATGGAAAGGGAAGGGGAAGCAACAGCAGTTAGATTTATACCTTTTTCTCTTTTCGTCACACATCAGATTAGAAAAGTTACCCTTCGATGTGACCGTCAAAACGAAAACAGCCGCAACGACGTCAGTGCCTTTTTCTTTCTTCCTTTCTTTCTTTTGCCTTTGTTTTACAGAAAAAAGCCTCTTTCAAAGCTACTGAAGTGAAGTGAACGGTGAAGTTAGAAAAACAACTTTCACTTTCTTTTAACCAACAGGCGAGGCTCGAGGTGATGAAGTACCGAAGGAAAGATGCTCCGGTGACAGGAGAGCTCCAGCACCAGCCAACTACTACTGCTGCTGCTGCCACTGCTCACCGCCCACCTGGTCAGCACAGTCTGGACAGTCTTCTGTACATCTTCAGTCAGCTTGACCTGAACGACTGTTTCACCTGTCGACTAGTGTGCCGCAGCTGGTCGGCAGCAGTTGGGCAG